CTTGTGAGCCCTTGTGAGATAAGGGGCCTGCCTGGGTCAGAGATTAGACACTGGCCTCAGGCCTTCAAAGATTCCAGATTGGAACCTTACTCTGTTCCTCTGCCCTGTCCCTGTCCAGGCCCATGGCTCACGGCTACGGCTGTACCAGGTGTCCCCGGCCGACTCGGGCGAGTACGTATGCCGTGCAGTGGGCAGCTCTGGCCCCCTAGAGGCCTCGGTCCTGGTCACCATTGAGGCCTCTGGCTCAAGCTCTGTCCACGTGCCTGGTATGTGTTCTTGCAGTGGGTCTGGGAAGCTAGAGGAGGAAGGACAGGAGGGAGAGCAGAGGCAGAACTGGGGGAAGGAAATACTTTTTGGTCCTTGGAGACAACCGCTTTTCTAATGCCAGGTTTCACCTCCTGCCACCCCCATGGTCCCTGGACCAAAATGCCAAGTTGCTGGGGGTGGTTCCTACCCCTCTGGGAGCACAGGCTTTGGAGTCTGGCATCTGCAGCTTGAGTCCCAGCTCCTCTGTCCATGCTCAGGGATGGTACACAGGCCTTCACCTCTCTGTGTGTCACTGTCCCCATCTGTGAAGTGGGTAGTAGAGACCTTGTCCTCTGCTAGCGCATTATAGAAACAATTCAGTGAGTTCCCTGAAGCCTGAAGCTGCGCCTCTGAGGGTATTGGAGGGTGATTTTACTTTGTGCCCCCAATAAACATCTTCACTAGTAGTAGCAGTATATTGGGGGGAAAACACAACCCATCAGACCTGTCCTTATTTCATGGAAATCGTTGCCTATAATGGGGCTAAATACCTATTTTTTAAAGTGAATCAATTGAAAGGAAAACATGTCATGGTCAGTAGCACAGGGGGGCCACACACTGCAGCAGAAATCACGCTAGCACACGATTGCTGAGTGATCTGGCAACCAGGGTGCTGGGCTGTGTTATAGTTACGTGGATCAATTCATTTCATCCTCCCAGCTGCCCTTGAAGGTAGGTATAATTGTTCTCTCCATTTTACAAATGGGGAAACTGAGACACAGAGAGGTGAAGTAACTTCCTGAAGGTCGCACAACTAGTAAGTGACAGAGCTGGGATTTGAACCCAGGCCACCTAGCCCGAGTCTGAGTTTTTAGCCACGTGCTATTGAGTTTGGCAAACATTAGTGACCTGTGTGAAGGTATCTGTCACTAAGCCACCAAGCCCTGCCCTCAGTAGTGCTGGGACATGGGAAGAAACGGAGATGGTGTGTCCACTGCCTCAGAGTGAGGCCAGGGCAATGAATACCGCTATAACTGTAGGTGACCCTGGCTGATCTGAGCCTCTAGCATGGGAAAGGAAAAAAATCCCTCCCCGATGGCCTCTGGTCTGAACATCTGGACACCCACAGAGGGACTGAGGGCACAGCAGTAGGAGTCTCAGCTCACTTTCCTCTCCCTGTGCCCAGTCCCAGGTGGAGCCACACCCATCCGCATCGAGACCTCCTCCTCTCGAGTGGCCGAAGGGCAGACTCTGGACCTGAACTGCCTGGTGCCCGGGCAGCCCCATGCCCAGGTCACGTGGCACAGGCGTGGGGGCAGCCTCCCCGCCCGGCACCAGGTAAGAGGGCTGGAGGGAGCAGGATGCACCCTCTACAGCTCCACAGCACTTTGGTGCAAAACAGAAAAGGACGCCTCTTACTCAGGACCCTTGACTTCGTCCTACCAGAAAAAATATCTTAATAAATATGTACTCCACAATGTCTAATGTCAAAGGAGGTCCCCTTTGCAGATGACAATTCTGAGGTACCAGAGGCTTTGTACATCTGAAGGCCTTAACCAGTGGCCTGCCAGCTCATTCTCCCCCCTGTCGCCCCGATCCTGGTCAGGTCCACGGCACTCTGCTGAGGCTGAACCAAGTGTCCCCAGCTGACTCTGGCGAGTACTCATGCCGGGTGACCGGAAGCTCAGGCACCCAGGAGGCATCTGTCCTAGTCACAATTGAAGCCTCCAGCCCAGGCCCCATTCCTCGTGAGTAACAAGGAGCAGTGGGGGATGCCAGGGTTCTCGTTGTCCTGGGGATGGGGTTTTCTATAGCTGAGGATCAAGCCAACCTAGCTGTTCCCAAATCTGGCTATGGCCAACACATGACTAGCTACTTCTGTGTTTCTAGTCCCTGGTAGCTCTTTGGTCCCTCTCTTCAACCAGCCCTGGGTCTCAGAATGACACCTTAGTCCCTAGGGAAAGGAGACCCACCTTAGATGAATGCAGCACAGCCTGCTGTCAAGCTGCTGTGCCTCTAGGGGGACCAATGGGCCTCAGTGTCACCACCTTCAGTCCTGCCTTCATTCCCAGGAGCCTGGCCTCTCTCACCCACCCCCTCTGCCCACAGCCCCTGGACTGGCCCAACATGTCCACATTGAGGCCACCTCCTCACATGTGGCTGAAGGGCAGACCCTGGATCTGAACTGTGTGGTGCCTGGGCAGGCCCACGCCCAGGTCACATGGTACAAGCGTGGGGGCAGCCTACCCGCTCAGCACCAGGTAAGGGGCCGGGATGGGAAAGACTCCAGGCAGGACAGGCAAGGATTCAACCTGCCACCTGCACCCAAGTCTTCGACCAACTCCAGCCGCTTAGAGACCACAGGGGATAACATACTTTGGGGGGAAGAGGTCACCAGCCTGGGAGTTGAAAGACTGGGTTTCTCTCCTGGCTCTGCTGCTGAGCCACTTCCTGAGGCTTAGTTTCCCCACTATAACGTGAGTGGTGGACTTCTACCCAGGCCCAAGCTGTAGCTCTGAGTGCCCCAGTCCCAGGGGAGAACTTGGGGACTTCCCCAGTCCTGAGGCTTTGGTGTGACAGCTGCCCTCCTCACTTTGACAGACCCATGGCTCTCAGCTGCGGCTCCACCACGTCTCCCCGGCTGACTCAGGAGAGTACGTGTGCCGTGTGGCCGGCGGCTCCGGCCCTCAGCAGGAGGCCTCCTTCACGGTCACCGTTACACCCAGTGAAGGGTCCTCCTATCGTGAGTGTGGCAGATGTCATGACAAGGGAGGAGGGACGACAGAGCTAAGCAGGCCCCCAGCTGAACTCAGCTCCCTTCCCTTTCACCCTAGGCCTCAGGAGCCCTGTCATCTCCATCGACCCGCCCAGCAGCACCGTGCGGCAGGGCCAGGATGCCAGCTTCAAGTGCCTCATCCATGAGGGGGCAGCCCCCATCACCCTCGAGTGGAAGACCCGGAACCAGGAGCTGGAGGGTGAACCAGGCAGACCAGAGGGAGGGTGATGGCCGCGGTGTGCGTGGGTGGGGAGAAGGCCGGGGACACATTGCATCCACTATATGACCCTGGAAAGGCCTTTCCCTTTTGGGGCCTCAGTGTCTACATCCAAATGGTGAGGAACCTTGACCCAGGAGTCCCCAGGGACTTTTTTTTTTTTTTTTGGAGACAGAGTCTTACTTTGATGTCCTTGGTAGAGTGCCATGGCATCATAGCTCATAGCAACCTCAAACTCCTAGACTCAAGAAATCCTCTTGCCTTAGCCTCCCAAGTAGGTAAGACTTTAGGCACCAACCACAACGAGCAGCTAATTTTTTCTATTTTAAGTAGAGATGGGGTCTCACTCTTGCTCAGGTTGGTCTTGAACGCCTATGCTCAAGGGATTCTCCTGCCTCAGCCTCTAAGAGTATTAGGATTACAGGTGTGAGCCTCCATGCCCAGCCTCCAAGGACTTTTTTTATCTTCTGCCATCTGTGACTCCATGAGCTAGACACACCTAGCTGGAGGGGCCAGTGGGGCATCAAGACAAGAGAAGGACCAGGTCACTCTCCCTCATCCTTCTCTCCCTGATCCAACCCCACAGACAACGTCCACATCAGCCCCAACGGCTCCATCATCACCATCGTGGGCACCCGGCCCAGCAACCATGGTGCCTACCGCTGCGTGGCCTCCAATGCCTACGGTGTGGCCCAGAGTGTCGTGAACCTCAGTGTGCACGGTGAGGGGGCATCCATCCCAGGGGGTCTGTTCCCTCTTGATTCTCAGCTCTGATCCTCAAGGTTGAAATACTGCCTCCACCACCGACTTCCTTTTGGACATTTTCCCTCTCTGAGCCTCAGTTTCCACCTCAGAGCAGGGGGGCCTCTGATCCCCACCCAGCAGTTAGTGAGCTGGGGTCAGGGCGGTACACGAGGCCAGCCCTGCACATGTGTCAATGCTTATCATTCCTCCGGGCAGGGCCCCCTACCGTGTCTGTGCTCCCGGAGGGCCCCGTGCGGGTGAAAGTGGGAAGGGCCGTCACCCTGGAGTGTGTGAGTGCTGGTGAGCCCCGCTCCTCTGCTCGTTGGACCCGGGTTGGCACTCCTGTCAAGCTGGAGCAGCGGATGTACGGGCATGTGGATAGCCATACAGTGCTGCAGGTGAGGCCAGGGCTATTTTGCCTCTGAGTCTGAGGTGCCCAGTCCAGAGCCCAGCCTTGAGCAGGTGCATGGTAGAAGGGCAGCTGAGTGATAAGTGGATGGAGAGAGGAAAGGAGAGATGGGATGGGTGCAAAATGGGTGCAGATGGGAAGGTGAAAGGGAAGAAGGAGAAAGAATGGGTGGAGGGATGGATGGGGTGATGGCCATGTGGATGAATGGACTCAGCGGGTGTCATGAGGTGAGAGCCTTCAAGCAGCCAGATGGGAGAGCCAAAAATCAAGGAAGGGGTACAGAAAGGAGAAAACCAAGCCACAGCCCGCGGCCGATGTCAGCATTCCCACTCGCTAAGTACATCACCACCTCCCTTGCTTTCTCCCAGATTTCATCAGCTGAGCCATCAGATGCAGGCACCTACGTGTGCCTTGCTCAGAATGCACTGGGCACAGCACAGAAACGGGTGGAAGTGATCGTGGACACAGGCACTGTGGCCCCAGGGGCCCCCCAGGTCCAGGTGGAAGAAACTGAGCTGACTGTCGAGGCTGGGCACACGGCCACCCTGCGCTGCTCTGCCACAGGTGTGCCCCGGGGCCTGTTTATAGACATGTGAGACTTGGAGATGATGTCATGCCCAGGGACACGGAGCAGGGGTGGGCTTTGCTGGCAGCATCTCCCAGTGATAACTAAAGTGTCCACTTAGTGGCCCCCATGGAGGGGCAGAATCACCCAGATCCCTTCCCCACCAATGAATACCACCCTCAGCTGTCCCCTGGGGAAGCCCAGCGACTTCTGCCATCTTCCACTCTCCTCCGCAGGCAGCCCCATGCCCACCATTCACTGGTCCAAGCTGCGCTCTCCACTGCCCTGGCAGCACCAGGTGGAAGGCAACACACTGATCATCCCGAGGGTAGCCCAGCAGGACTCGGGCCAGTACATCTGCAATGCCACCAGCCCTGCCGGGCACTCTGAGGCCACTGTCATCCTTCATGTGGAGAGTAAGACACTCACCTCCTCTTTTGGGGCCCCCCACTGTGCACTGTGTGGAGGCCTGAGCCACCCCACTAGGCTCCCCTCTGGACAGAACCCATCCAGAGGCCTGCATGTACCTCAGGGACCCATAGCTGGCCCTTGCCTGATAACCAGTATCCAACCCTTCCTGGCACCTTCTTTCTCTTCACTCCCATCATCTGGGCTCACCATCCAGTTTCCTTGGTCCTTTGTCCAACTACCTGCTGCCATGCTGACCTCTGTGTCCTCCTGCCCAGGCCCACCATACGCCACCATAGTTCCGGAGCACGCATCGGTGCGGGCAGGGGAAAGAGTGCAGCTCCAGTGCCTGGCTCATGGGACACCCCCACTCACCTTCCAGTGGAGTCGCGTGGGCGGCAGCCTTCCTGGGAGGGCGACCACCAGGAATGAGCTGCTGCACTTTGAGTCTGTGGCCCCAGAGGACTCAGGCCGCTACCGCTGCCAGGTCACCAACAGGGTGGGCTTGGCAGAGGCCTTTGCCCAGCTGGTGGTCCAAGGTAAGCTCAGAGTGGGTGGAAGGGGGTCAGCTTTCCTCCAGGCCCTTCAATGACCCAGCCATGGGTATCTGAGACCCACATGTGGGGTATGAAGTCCTTCCTCCCTCACCCCACCTGGAGGACCCTCCT